AGAGCACGCTGAGGAATCATCTGCGAGTTATTCATAAGCAAATTGTTGATGCAGGGTTTGGTTTGCTAACACATAATTGTAGAAGAATATAATTTATAATTTGTCTTTGGGGATTTGAGAATAAATTATTCAATTCTTTCCATCATAAGATATATATGTCTGTATATACATATACACACACATACATACACACACACTTACACACACACATATATATATATATATATATATATATGTGTGTGTGTGTGAGCATGTATGTGTATATAATATAATATATTATATTATATACAGTAATACCATAGTTAATTCGTTCCGAGAAAAAGTTCGTTGCGCGAAAAGTTCGCTATGCGAAACGTGTTTTTCCAGAGAAATGCATGAAAATAAAATTAATTCGGTCTGTAGTTTGAAATTTGGTCATTGACAATAAGATATTTTTTACATATAATTAAGGCATTATTAAAAAAATTATTGATTCACAAAGTAAGTTATTATCAGAGTCGCACTGCTTCCTTTTGTGCCCTTATAGCTTCTGAATTTTTAAAGAACTGTCGATAGTTTTTTTTTCACCAAGATCCACTCTTTGAATTAATTTGAGCAACATATGTTTTTTCGGTTACAAATGACAACGAGTTAGTATGTGTGTGAAGCAAAGTTCGTTGTGTGAAACTTTCGAAACCGAAAAAAAGTTCGTTATGCGCATCGTCCATTGTGCGAGGCGTACGTTATGCAGAGTATCACTGTATATAGTATACAAATCTGCAGTTTCGAACAAAGAATCCAAAAAGTAATAAAAAACAAAATCGTTTCTATAAAGTTTTAGCTCTTAATATTAACTTTTAGATAGTGCGCAATTCATACAAACTTCGTATGGAAATAGTATGGAAAATTTTTTTTTAAGTATAACTTAGCGACAAATGAATTGAAAGTGAAAATTTGTGTCATTTTTTATCGAAAATTCGACGCTCTGCAAAATTTTTGAAATTTTTTTCATGCTATTTCCATACAAAACTGAATTGCGCTCTATCTAAAAGACAATATTAAGAGCTAAAACTTTCAAAGAAAAGTTTTTTATCAAATTGGAAACATTTGAGCCCTTGAGAGCAAGGAAATTCGAAAATGTCCATATTAAGGACCACCCTAATCTATATATATATATCTATATGTGTGTAAATTGTAATATATAAATTGAGAATACATTTGTCAAATAATCAGCATCATTAAAAATGCTATTTTGTCTTCAGCTGCGATACACAATTTCCAAAAACAAGCATAAAACACATTATTAATAATAAAAGTTGTTATCACAAACATAAATCCTAGCTAAAACTAAAATTGTCAGTAATTGTAAAAAATTAGTATAAGTAATAGTTAGTAATATTTTTTTGAGAAGACAGACTTAAAGTCTAAATTGTACTTAACTTATGTTTAATTTAGTTTTCTTATTTTATACAAACTTATACAAACGAAAACATATAAACAGAATATGTATAGTATGAAATAATTTTCTTGATTTTAAACTGTGATCTTATTTATAGCTTAACATTAGATTATTGAATATAAAAGTTATTAACTGTAAGTTAAAAACTAGTTTTACTCAAACTTGAATTAAGTTAATTTAATATTTTTTAATTTTGTACATATATAAAGAAAATTAATACCTTGAATCAAAAACGAAAACATAATTTTGTTTCTTAAATAAGTACTGGAGCATACGAGTACATTTTTGTATAATGTATTTCAAAACAATTTTATTTTTGAAGTCTTCATATGTTTAGAATTATTATTGTCTTAATTTAAGGCTGCATTAATTACTTATCTGTGATGTTAAATGTATAGTACACATTAATATAATTTATTTATACTTAAAGTTACATGAGGTCTATTTATTGTAATTATAAGATATATTGTGACATGACACTAACACACTTTATAGATATACTGGTTCAGTATATTAACATAATTAAATTTCAGATACAGATTGAAAATATTTATATTTATATTTTATTTTTTTACAGTGATACTTTATCGAGAGCCATCATATCAGCAGTTTGGTACGGGCATTGATATAGATGAACATGACCAAAAGTCGACTATAGTCGACATCCAGGATCCCTTGCGTTTCCAGGAAAAACATTTTCCAGCAGTATACATTAGTGATAAATCAAAAAGCCAAAACCCAATGAGAAGATGTGCTATGTGTTCAAAGAAAGGCAAAAGACGTACTAGTAGATATTATTGTAAACAATGCAATGTTGGGTTATGTGTGGTGCCATGTTTTGAATTGTATCACACCCAACAGTAACATTTATTATTGTAATTGTAATATAAAGATAATAAAACTAAAAGTTTAGTTTTAATTTTTTAATTCTTTATTTTTCCAAATAGCAAAATGTCTGTTTATTTAAATTGTAAAATGTTGCGAACAAAATTTGCACATTAACTAGTTTGAACCACCGGTCTTCCACCGTCCTACCTAGCCAGTACGCTTAGATCTCAGGTTAGAGCGATCTAGGATAAATGAAGAGGACAGCGCCAGAAACTGCAGAGATGTAAACTTTATGTAAATTCAAATTCGAATTAAATTATTTTTATCTTCACGGATATACTACATAGTACAGTGTATGACAATAGTTAGATTTTAAATAATCATTGAAAATATATAATTCCATATTATTCTAATTTTTGTTTGATTTCTTTACAGCAATACTTCACCATCAACCATTTGACCACTTCGGTATGGGCGTTGATTTGGACGCTCGACGTCGATTGTCGACTATAGGCGACAACCTACGTTTCCAGGAAGGACATTTTCCAGCAGTGTACTGCAGTGAAAAAACAAAAAGGCACAATCCAATGAGAAGATGTTCTATGTGTTCAAAGAGTGGCAGAAGACGTACTAGTAGATATTATTGTAGACGATGCAATGTTGGCTTATGTGTAGTCCCATGTTTTGAATTGTATCACACCCAACAATAACTTTTATTATTGTAATTATAA